ACTATTACGAAGACTCCAAAAACAAAAAAAAGGGAAACGATTTTGCTCCGAAAATACCACAGCTCTTGGTGTTAGGGCCGAAACTCGTATTAACCATACTTTTTGTTACAGGCTTGCCAGAGCTTCCTTGCGACAAAGCTCGGCAAAGCTCACCCAAAACACTCGGAGTCGCTCCTGTCAATGTTAGCCTTGTTTCTATAAGAACTATGCGTCTATTTAAACCAGGGTAGATGCAACCAAACTCGTAAATTTGTTTAAAAGGTGAAAGTTTCTAAAGAAATTGTGGTGCTGCGTCGGGTGGGGGTAACAAGGTAATTTGGTTATATCATCGAAGTTGAAATTGTAAACTGGCCACCGTAACGAGTTAAAAAGCTGACGTTTCGAGCGTTAGCCCTTTGTCAGAGCGTTGTAGCTCATCCCACGAGAGTAAAAACAGTACTTAGCTGAAGCATTAAGACACTGGTACGTTTCCTCGATTTTTCTGTCCTTGTTTACGTATGTACCGCTTCGCTAGTTTAGATTTCAAGATAACAGATAGTTATTAGTTTCTTATGTAAGAAAAGAATCGCCAAGAACTCTGCAAGGAAGGTGAATGTAAACCTTTCCTTCGAAACAAAGTCGTGAAAAGCGAACGAAAGTTCCAAACTATGCCTTTCTATAAAACCAAATTGAAATTGGTCAGAAACTGGCGCCCGAGATCCCTTAATGACACCTTACAAATGGTCCACAGATTCTTTATTCGGGATTATTCAATGCCTCTGATTAACATTCAACAAGGCAAATCGGTGAGTGCCGAAAATGTAACGAAAAAAAAAGTTAAGTGTAATCCATTGCTTGATTTTACATTTGAAAGGAGTCAATGTTATTTTCAATAAGTTAAAATCGACTCTCCTAAAGCATAACACTGAGGTCAGCATCTTTTAAATTGTGACATATTTTAGTGTTTCTTTTTTTTTCAAGCAACAAACATGTTTTAGAAGCTGTTATCTGATTTCTTCGTGCAGGTTAAGAACTAGTTCCAAGCAGTTTTCCCTGGAGACCCAAGAACGAATGGTGGACGTTAATCTGGGTAAATTTTCCCGCTGAGATGTTTTGTAACTCTGTGTAACGGGGGAACAAGAAATAACGGCGAACAGTTCAAAATCAACTTACTTTGTACATAAACACAAAGAATCCTGCTATCGGGGCTTCCAACACCTTTACTTGCAGTGCACCTGTAGCCATCTTCTTCTTTTTTACCAATGACGAGGAGAGGGGCAGACACAGCTTCGTTGTCAGAAACTCTTGTCCAAGTGATATTTGGTGTTGGATTACCCTCAGCCACACATTTTGGATGAAATGTGTCACTTTCATTCAGGGTCTGATTACCAGAGGTGTATTTGATCTTTGCTGCATCTGTAATGTAACCATCCTAGCAGAATTAGTTTGTTGAGACCTATACAATGTATGCCCAACCAAATAACCTAAAACTCTATCATCTTCCCAACTTTGGAGAACTGTTCAATCATGATGAGCTAAAACCCAAAAGGGAATCTTTTTTTATTTTTACTTGAATGACTCAACAGCGCTGCCGTTGGGTTTCTTTCTCTTCTTTTTCTTTTTTCTTTTTCTTTTTTTTGCATCATTCTAAAATCTGCAAGGTTATCACACTAGCTGCGTTTAGTAACTGAATAAAATAATCGCGAATGAATTATATCATTGTAGTTTTTTTTAGAGTGGTTGCCGTAAATATTAAAGCGCTCGTTCATTCACTATCTCATACCATGCAGTTCATCCCCCGCAAACGATAAAAGCAAGATTAGTAACTATTATTCTCTACTCACTGACTAGCATTTTTTTCCAAAAATTTTTAAGAGCTTTAAATCACAATTGAAATGTAAACTCTAATTTTAAACATATCTTCAAAACTGTTGCTCAGCTTTTGTTGACCTTTCCTTTTCTGAGAAACTCGCTCACGAAAGCTGGCTCTTTACCCTTAAACTCCCCAATATCAAATATTTTTAAAATATCTGTATTTTAGCTACTGAAAAGACCTGACGCTTCCACTGAGTTCAAAATCCCAACCCACCCAGGCAACTTTTAAACTCGTCACCCCTTGAACGGCATTTTGTCAAATTCAATGCCCGTGGGTTGCCCTTTTAGACGTTGAAGCTTTGAATTGATCAGCCCATGATATATCAAACTTCGACGATTTAATTTGTTTAACTCGAGTCATCGTATTTTGCACATTGCTCGTTTCACCAATTCAGTTCTGCTGGGCATAAATCATTCATTCAAACGCTAAAATTCTCCCTCTTAAAACAAGATTTAACTGGTGAAATGTTTTCTATAAAAAACGAGATACCTTTTGTGTTTCTCATGATACGCTAACCACACTGATTTGATCCTTTTACAATGGAAATTTGTTTTACTAGTGAGCTTGCCTATAATGAGAGGTAGTGATGAACTGAACATTAGATTGTATACTGGAAATTGTCATTTAACTGGCATGGGGCAAATCCTGATAAACAGTAAAAAGTAATCACATTATTACATCAGCAAAGTACCGTCTAAACAGATGTTGTAAATAACGGCAAAGAAATGGATATTTAGCATGGCAGTGGAGAAGTTATATAGCTTGCGGAATATTTCAATCCTCGTCAAAAGAGCTATAAAAGGAGAGCTATAAAGGGAGAGGTGCCTTAGGTACCTCTGGACCATTTGTCAATCAACCGTTGTGTGATGTAGAACTCTAAGAGACAAGTCAGCTTGAGCTATAGCTAGTCCAAAGCCAGTGAAGAGCGGGCGCATTCCTCAAAATTGTTTTATGTTTTCATCACGATACAAGAATTTTTTGAGATTTGTATTTCCTTTCTCCACTGGAAACTGTCTTTATTTGTGGCGGTAAATTTGAAATCGAAGAAGGTGGTTCGTACGTTGCATCATTGCCACCATGCTGGTGGAAATAAACATTTCATTAGCTCCTTTCGTTCGTCTACCAGGCACCTACGGGACCTCTCCTTTCATAGCGCGCCTTCGTGTTTAATATGTGGGGCTCCGGGTTCAGCTAACCACGAGACCCAGTAGCTTTTACGAAGGCTATTCCGCCAATCGGATCATAATTTGAGCTTGTCCCATTAGACTTTGTCCATCTAGTGAAATAAAATGTCTAACTTTCAGTCTGTTCATTACAAGTAACTTCCGAGTTAACTTCCATGTAAGTGACATGTCCACTCCTTTTATTACCAATGTTGAATTGGCTGGTTGTACCGTCCAGTTAAATGATTCTGCTATTCCTTAAAATTGATGACACCTTTTTTTATTTATTCGCATTTAATTCAATAATGTGTATCTCTTCGTATCATATCACGGAACTCACGAATCTTAAACAACAAACGATAGAGGGAATAATGTGTAGCGCGCGTAGATATGGAATTTCTCTTCGCTTGTTCAACTCCTACCTCAAAGGTGAGCGAAGCGAACGAGTGAGAGTTGAACAACAGAAGACAAATTCCACATCTTCAAGCAACCATGTTTTATTTTGTTCATAATATGAACAAGGTAAACCTTTACCAATAAGAAAAGTCGACTTTATTGATGAATGAAAAAAGATAGGATCCACAATCTGCAAAAAAGTCCTAGAGTGTGTCCAGGACTAGGCTCATGATGAAAGAATGCGTTGAATCATTACTCAAAATGAATTAAAATCTCTCGGTTATTGACGTTTTCCTCTGACAGAAGAAGTCTTTTCTGATACGCGGCAAAAATCGGCCTGTGGAAAATCTTCCAGATGTCGATTATTGTTCTCAGCCGCTAGAAATGCCTTTACAAAAGCCAGCTAAGTATCCTTCGGTTGTTCTTTCGTATTTAGTTTTTCTGTCGTGAGCCATACGAGTTTCCGAATTTTTTGAAAAACAACCTTGGGTTGAGAACAGTGAAGGCTCTGTCTTTCCTTCATCGACCTGATAGAGTGGCGCGAAAGGCGAGCGACGTGTCAGCGGCTGATTGGCGATATCAAACGCACGTAAAAGGATTTCGTTATTTTACACGTTGTTGCGGAATCTATACGGACCCTGCAGTTGCTGGCTAACTCGATAAATAATCGAAGAGGAATGTGATCTATCTTTCCAAGATTTATTGTCCACGAACACCAGATACCCTTCCCCTCATCATATTTCATAATTGAACGTAGCGTTAGTAAGTTGTCGAATGACCCTCTCTTCATTCTCAAATGTCTACGGAAAAAGGCTCAGGGAAGTTAGGACTTCAAATCATGATTCTACAAGTCGATAGCGGCTCTGACGTCTGTTGAGCAGCTGAGTTGAAGACTCCAAGATTTTGTATTCCGCCTGAAGTAAATTCGCATTTTCACTACCATTCATTCGTGGATACGGTGAACCACATAAAAATGATGTAAGTTTTTTTGTTTTTGTTTCTTATTAACAGAAAGGAAGAAATATTTCAAATGAATCCTGTTAATCGTACTATTGCTACTTTGCATATATCTCAGTACCTGAACACAATTGTTTCTAAAATCTCACAATACGAATGCCTTCTCAGTACAAAATGAAATATAGCTCCTCAATTTAATCATCAAACTTTCCGCTCTATTGCGCATTTCTACCGAAACTTCGAGCGGTAAACTTCTGTATAGTATCATCATGCAGACAGGGTCAACTCCCAACTTTTCAACACTTTCTTATAATAAAAACATTGCTAAAATACCAAATTAACATCGTGTCTTAGAAAATAAGGCTTAAACTCTTACCTAGGACCAGAAGAGAAGTAGTATCTGGTATGCGAAAAATATTGGGCTTTTTGGCCAAATAACATACTGCTATGTACAAGTAACGTGCCAAATATAGTCGCGGTTTTAAAAAGAAATCTGCTCATTTCACTTATACTTTCAGTGTAAAAGTATTTCGAGTAGCTCAGTATAGCAAGCAAATACAAGCTTAGGGAAAGCAATAATATGCGCACAATGGCTTTCCTCCTGACAGGAGGGCTTCACGGTAAAACAGTTCCTGAAAAATTAACTAAAACATTTACACAACAATGGCCTTCGGAGCGAGATCCAATCTATCTGGTAAATAAGATTCTTTCTTGGAAGGTACGGTTACAATACAAATATATCAAAGCGCGTCGTCTGATGTCATTACGCTGTCCTGCCTTTCAGAATTTTGCTTGCAACAAACCCTTCACAAATGCTTATACGAGAGTATACTCCATCGGTTAAGCGACTGAAAGCATATAATAGTGGTTCACCGTTTAAGAATATAAAAAGCACAACGCAATAGATTAAGGCAAAGATGATTAGTCCCTGAAACTTGTTGCGGTAAAGTGATCAAGTCGTTAGCCGATCACACCTTGGACGTGATCCAACTACAGGAAAAAATCCTCGATATTTGCATACAACTGCTTATCGTACATATTCATGTTGATCAGCCTCTACAGAGAAAAAAATTAAAATTATAATAACCAGCGTCATTTAAAAATAGGGTTCCTCAAGTGATGAATCAATGAGTTTGAATATATGAAATTCATGTATGTATACTGCGGTTTTAAGAAATGTATGAAAGTGATCCTCGCAGTATTGAACAGAGGTCATGGATTCAAATCCCGTACGGCCCGAAGTTTTTTTTTTCAGGCATTATTTCACAATACATAAGTAGTGTTCATTATTGCAAAGATCGCTTTCATACATATCTTATGACCTCTAAAATAATAACCATAAAGTATCGTTTGTGATTGGAACATTTTAGTTTGCTCCTTTGCTGTTATTTTGTTTTTGTTTTTGTTTTTGCGTTTGTTTTTGTTTTTGTTTTGTTTTTTTTTTTCGTGGAGCACTTTGTAAAAAGTAAAGAAATGAGTACATATTACTAAGCCATCCGGGTAAATGCTGTGTAGGTTGAAAACCCAAGCTAGTCACTCTTGCGTAAAAACAAACTTTCGTGTTGATCACAATTCTCACCTTATGTTGGGTTTCCATGTCCTTAAGTTGATTTTTCAAATCAGCGAATGTTGGTCTTACATCCGGGTCATTTTTCCAGCATTTCATCATGATCTGATACCTGGTATTTTCAAATGATCTGTTTAAGATTTAATAAACGCTTTCTTGTGCGCTGAAAGAGAACGAGTTGAAAAAGAAACTTACAACTTTTCAACGACGTGTTTTGGTTTGAGCATCCTGTATCCCTCCTGAAGTAAGTTTGCCATTTTTCTTCCATCCACTCTTGGGTAAGGTGAGCCACCTAGAAGAACCACAAAACCATAACTATGATAAGACCGTCGAAATATAATTGAAACAAAACAACGACTTGCAATTTTTCACAAAATTAATACATCTTATTTTGCTGGCTCGGCAGAATATTTGAGCAAAGACTTTGGTCACGACCTTTTGGCGATAAATAATATTAATTCTTTCTTCTCTCTCGCTATCAAGTCACTTTGGTTTTTCAGTACAAGTTGATTTCGAAATAAATTTTGTGGTACTACATTTGTTTTTAAAACGATTGAAACGCGGCTTTAAAACAATTTGTTATTCAATAATCCTTCACGAAACTAACTCATAAAGTTAAAACGAGACGTAGTTGCAGTTGACAATTACGTTAATCAGCGTGACTCTCATTCGTTAATATCTGAGGAACAAATGCTGGTGGACGAACAAAAGAAGCTAATGAGATATTGATTGTTTACGTCCACCAACATGGCGGCCATGACGTAACGTGCAAACCACCTATAAATACACTTTCGCCTATTCTTTGCAAGTCTCTTGAACTTGGACATTTCTAGCCTAAATTACACAACAGAAACCGAAGGAATTCGATGAATAAAAGTCGCATTATTCTTCTTGTGTCTAGCTGGAAAGAGTCTCACTGACTTCAGCTTTTCGCTAGAAGAAAAACCGATTTACACACACCACTGCAGAAAACAAATAAGCAGAATTACAATTCCAAAACACACATTTGTATTCATTTACAATTTGACTTTTCCGTGACATTTTAAAACGGAACAGAGGTAAATCTTCGAAGATTAATTGTCGTTGGAAATGAACAATACTTTCCGTAAGATATCTGTATGCTTATTTTGTACGAGAAAATCGTCGCACGGTCATTTAACCCGTGTGTGTTTGTCATACCAGTACTATTGTTTATTCAAAAGTCGACGCCTTTTTCCTCTTCAATAGGCCATTTTACAGTTGTGTACTTAGTTGCCAAGCCTTTGATTCAGAGTGAGGCTAAAGATGACCTTGTTGTGATAGAGACCTGTATCTAGTTAGCATGATAACAAAGTGATTTACATTTGAAAGGCAGCAAGGTTTGTATCATAACAAGGTCATCTCTAGCCTCACTCCCATTCAAAGGCTTGGCAACCAAGCACACAACTGTAAAAT